CACCACAAAGTACGTTGGCTGTTTTCTCTCTTTCGAAAGCTGCCATCCTCCAGGCTGGCAAAACTAATGAAACAAAAAAACGAGACACATAGTTAAGCAGTAATATAAATTGTTTTAAGAAACATGAAAGATATTTTTAAACAATATAACAGAACATTATCTGAAACAAGTAGCTAATTTCATTTACAGTGAACATATGCAGGGTTGCAAAATTTGGAGAAAATGGGGGAAAACCCAATAGGTCTTGGAGTTGGTCAGACTGATATATAAATCTAGCTCTACAGACATCAAAGGAGATATAATAAACTCTACAAACTGAAGATGTGTTCCTTTGAATTCAGTATTCAAGATCATCTTTGCAGGGTTTAACAGGCAGCAACAGGAATAAATTGACACATTATGCAGGTTTCATTTGGATAACTGGTTAGAATTTGAAGCTAAAATTGTTGTGTCTTGGAATGTCTCTACATTTTTAATTTCTCCACTTATTTCTCCATTAATTTATCTAATCAAACATAGATATTCCACTTACACCTACTTGCAAAATTATTCAATACTTACTCCTACAAAAGACTATTTATAGACCAATATTTTTCATCCATTTATTGATTATCTCTAAAAACTTTACTGTGAGCATTTGAAATTTTGTAAGAGTTCACACCATAGCAGGGATATAAGTTTTGCCAGCCCTGTGAAAAATATGTTCAAGTTTCGTGACTTCATAAGTCTCAGGGACAAAGAAAATCACTTGTTTCTCAGACTCAAAGAGGTTGCAGTTCTCCAAATACTTCATATGTACTTAGAATACTACATGGTTCCAAGCTCTTGCAGCCATGAGCAGACTAAATACATGCAATACTTAAAACACACATCAAATAAACCTAAGTCCTTTCAGTATTTGTTCCTTCAAGCGGACCAGCACCGTGGCAGTGCAAGCCACCAGAACTGAAGACATCAATTCCAGCCTCAGAACAGACATGCACAAATGGCATGAACAAAAAGAGAACTATAGCTCAAAAGCAAAGGGAAAAGTGTATGTTTTTTCTTCTTTTTTAAATGACTGGAGTACAACATCAGTTAATAACTTGTTCCCAGTAATGGAAGAGCATGCTGAAATTCAGAAATCAGTTTGCTGAAGATTCTTGAAATGGCCTTTATGGAATTTTGTATTCACTGTTTCTTTTACTTAAGGCTGAAGTCGCATACATGAAAAATTCACAAGTACATTATTATTAGCAAAATTATAAACTTAGAATTTACACGGGGCAAAGGTAATAGCCCCTGTATGTATTAGGAATAAAAAACCCCCAAACCCCACAACATTTCTAGAATTGTTAAACAATGCAGATACCAAAGGAACCAGAGAAATAGGTCAAAATCTCATGTTTCCAGCAATTGCTTCTTTCCCCTGGACAGCTGCTAAAAACTGAAAGAGCATGAAAAGTAAGTTGTAAACAAACATTTACTACAGATTCATCTTTAGAACCTCTACAATAAAACCTGGGTAGTCTTAGGTGAACAGCAGTTAAAACTCTGCCTCTGATACACAGTTTATTTTATGATCCTGGGAAAATCTTCAAAACCAAAGTTTTCTCATGTTACATTCTTCGTATTCTAGATAGTCAGCTTAACACTTCTGAGCCTGTATGCTTAGAAGTGCTAAACACTCCCTCCTGCATCTGAGAATAACTGTTCTGAACATCAAAAAGTACTCTGAGAAAAGACATCCTAGTCATTCCACGCTAAGCATCCAGTATTAGTCCATGATTTTGATAATACTGGCCTAATCTCCCTTTGTTTTTCATCCCATGTCAGTTAAAAATAAGAAGATACCACTACTAATCTTGCAGGACTGCTATAAAGATAATGTAATATGGTCAATATATACAGACATTATAACAAAAGCATCATTAAAAAGTTTGACAATAAAATCATTAGAGTTCTGTATGTATTGCAGAGTTTAGGTGGTGTGTGGCAGATGAAGCCTGGAATCCGTAGCTCAAATAAGATAACCCCCAAAACTCTGAATAGCTATTTGTTCAATGAGTATGAGCCAAAATGCAAAGAATGCAGTAAGATTCTGTTAATAAATAACACCTTTCCATGGTATACCATTAAAACTGAATCATCCATACAAGGTAGGTCAAATTAAGGTTGCTTATGCAGTCCTAGTTCGGGCACTTCTTAAGCTCCAAATGCTTGAGTTTACCATCTTAACACTCTTTCAGATCTGCCAAGTCTACCAGTTCTGACAGGAGATCCTTGCTGGTGCCACTACCCTTTAGCTTTACGGGTAATTTCTCATCTCACACCTGTAAGTAGCAATCTATCAGATTTTTGAGTGTCTGGAATTCCTGGACAACCATTCTGCACACACCAAACACCACCCTACTAAAGGCACAGAAGAGCCGGTATATCCTAATAATCCACAAACAATGTATTCTGCACCCAAATGACAAATAGGTGAGCTTGGGATGTGTGGCTTATGCATAGCTGGTTTTTACACGATACACACAGCATCTACCAATTTTGAACTCTGAGGTATTGGTAGGTTCATTTTGAATATTCTTTTTGTATTTATTTTAAAATAAAATAAATTAAAAAATAATTCTTTTTATTGTACTAAGCCATTATTAGCAGGTCTACTGCATAAAATTTATACCAACATCTCCCCTGTAAACTGAGAAATGCAGATGGAAAACCAACAGCTAAATTTTTAACTATCAGAAGTGACTGTTGGTCTGGGCAGGCTGCTCTCAATAGCAATCTCGATCTTTATGCATGTCTAAACCC